CATCTGCATTACACTGCAAGAACTTATGTAACATGGCTCTTGCCTTAAAATTCAACAGAAAACCTGTTTGGGTGAGCAATTCTTCATTCGATAAGCATAGCTAGATTAATACAATTTACTCTATAAGGTGAGTTTTAGACTTTCTTGTTTCATTGTGAATGTCCAAATTACCTATACTGAATGTCTAGGCTAAGTTTGAGTTTATTAAGTGTATTAAAGATGGGCGATTGGATTGTGTTTTAAGTTCTTCAAAAGGTGAGGATGATGTGTTTATTTTTTGGTCTTCTTATTATGTTAACTGAAGGCTTAATAGGTGGAACTAACAACTATAATTTGGTTTGTTTTCATATATCTGACCCCTGTAGGCGTGGGGAACTTAACCTTCAAATAGTATATAGCTGTCACTATTTTGGCTTTTTTCATTAGTGGCCTACCAAAAATAACATTGTAGGCTGAAAGTTGGTCCACTACTAAAAAATCTGCCAACATCATAAGCATGTGCTTGCCATATCTTATAATGACTAACAGGGTGATGAAACCTTTCATTGTGAGAGGTTATTTGGTGAAGCCAAAGATAGGCCCTGATGGCTTTAAATTTTTGTCAAAAAATCCTATCTATTTGAAAGTCTGGTATTGTATCAAATTTATTGTACTTTCATTGTCTACCAGGATCTTTTATACTTGATATTTGATAATGGTTGCTAAGACCACTATGGGATCATTGCCACTGTCTATCAAAATATCTGTATCTTTCTCTGAAAATTAAACTTACTAGTCTTCCATTCTTTGTTTCTTAAAAGCCACATCAATGGCCATTACATTAGACAAGTGAGATTTACACTTTGACTTGCTATTGGCCCAATTCTCTATTGCCCTTATAATCACATGAATTACTATTTGGATTAGGCATTTACCAACAGCTTTTTCTTGGTATGCCATCTCATCTTGAATTACACTAAGATGAGGTGGGTGCATCTCATATTAGGTGAGGCAGGGGTTATTGTGGTTATTGTTGTGGTAGGTGAATTAGTTGTTTATTAGGCCTTCCAATCTCTCAATCTCTTTTTGGAAAATGATGCACTTTTCAATGGAATACATGTAGTTGAATGATAGTTATAATGTTGTTTTAATAGGGGTTGGTTGTCAAGGTTTCTAAGTAAAGGCCTTGCTTGGTTAGTTTTTTAATTAGGTCATTGGGTAGGGTGTTGGGATATGGCATCGAGAGTTTTGTTTTAGCTTTGGTAATGCTTGGGCTATGACTAAGAGGTACGACTATTGTTACTTTTCCAATCTCTTCTTTTAGGTTGGTTGTGGACTTGGCGGTTGTCATGGAACTGATAGCTTGGGGAATTAGTCTGCCTATTGTCTCTTCTCAGACATTTAGAGCATTGTTTATTCCTTTCAGCTCTATTTGTGGCCCAGATCTCTTCTACCTTAATAAATTTTTGACCTTTTTCATAAGGCTAGTATAATTATTTTGGTTTATTCTCCGTCAAAGAATACTTGAGATGTTCATGTCTAACCCCAAAGGTAAAAACTTGGATAACCCATTTAGTGTTAAGTTCATCAATCTCCAATGTGGCAACATTAAACCTTTTTAAATATTACCACAAAGTCTCATATGGTTTTTATTTTATGATAAGTAGGGTCACAGATGAGTGCATTATAGCTCTGCTATTCAAAAAAAAGCTAAAAATTGCTTGTTAAGGGTATCGAAGCTATTTACAATAGCTAAGGCCATGCAACAAAACTAGATTCTAGCTCTTCCCAACAAAGTTATGGGAAAAGCTCTATATTTTATTACATTTAAGGCGTTGTATAGTTTCATTAAAATTTTGAAATGATCCAGGTAGTCTTCTAGATCAGTAGCCCTATTGTGTGTCTCTTTAGGAAGCCTTAAGGAGGTATGGATATCTACTTGTTTGATGGTAGGGGTGAAAGGGCTGGGGTCATCTTCTAGCCACTATAGGTCTTTGTTCATTTTTTTTTCAAATTAGCAAGATCCGCGCAAGACAACAACTTATGCACCAGGCTAGTAGCTTTCTACAATGTGGGTAGGGTTTTGTGGTGGCTCTCTAAAGGATGAAACAGAGCTTTCTCTTGGGTGTGGTCTTTTCTATGAAGATTGTTAGGTGGCTTATTGGTATTATTGAAATAGCCTCTATTGTGTGGCTACTCAGGCATTCATAAGCTGTATTTAGGTCATTAGGGCCTAGAAAAAGTCTAGGGAAGATTATTGTATGTTTAGTTAGTATATTAGGATTTGTGTAATAGGAAGTGAGACATACATAGTGGATGTCGCAGGGAGAATGTTTTGCTATTAGGTAGCATTAATGGGTTGTAAAGATTGGACTCGTGCAAGGGATGGTTGGGATACTTAGTTTGAGGGTCCAGTGACAATGGTATGGGCTAGTGGTGGAGTTAATGTTACATTTGGAGATAAAACTCACATCACGTTTTGGTAATATCCCAGGAGTTGTGTAGTCCAAGCATTTAATGAAAACGGGTTACTAGAAAATAGGGAAGTAAGGTTATATCTTAGGATTCCATGAGGGAAGATTTGGTGATGGGATTTGCGGAGGGGCCGGTAGCATGACTACCATATCTGAGATAGATGCAAGTTAAGTTGTTGCATTAATGGTAGGTTTTATAGTTTTAGAAGATTGGAGGTGGTAAGACATAGCTTTCGTTCCCACAAACAACACAGCTAATTGTTAAGGTATTTTTAGTGTTTTAAATAGTGTGAGCTGGTAAGATGTTGAGGATAGGATGGCTTGAACTTGCAATCAGAAAGCATAGTCAGGGGAAGCCGAAGTTGATTCTCCGACTTATGCTTCGATGCTCAAGTCAATTAGGTATTGGAGATAAGGAAAGAAAAAATGAGGAGAAATATGTGGAAGAAGCTATAATGGAGGAAATTGCTTAAGTGTGAAGTATGGAGTTATGTGTTACGTACCTGAGTTTCCTCTTTATCTTATTTATGAGACAGTAGGTGGTGATCTAATTGAAATAGTTGATAAGAAATATACATAAAGCTTGAAAGAGGTCTATGTGGGTGGCTGACAATCGTATTTAATAATCCCAAATAGGTATAGGCTGCATTTAATAGCTCAAGTAAATTCGAGATCAAGTGTTCAATTCTGAAATGATACCTTGATGGGACGTTAGTAAAATGTTCGGTGAGCTTTTTTTTAGTAGGAGGCAAGCCAATTCCTCATATAAAGATGATGTTGCAACTGGACTTGCACTATCTAAGCAATCCAAGGAGTTAACCATGTTGACCAAGGGTTGACTAAGTAAATGAACGTAACAAGTTCGAATATCATGTTAAGTTTAACTATTAATTTAAGATTTAATTGCACCTATACCTTTCAAGTCTTTTACTCTTTATTTTTCCTTAAGCACTAGAATGGTTAGGTAACCACCTAGGTAATGAGGTGCGGTAGTGCTTTTTCACTTGTCTAAATATTGAGTGGTAGAACTTAATTAAACGTATTTTAAGAGAATTTGAATATATATATATATATATATATACATATATTGGGTTATATCTACATGAGAAGATCATTATATCGAAAAAGATTTAGATGAAATTATTTAGGTGAAATTCATAAATTTTTTTATTAAAAATTATTAAATAAAATCAAAATTAAAATTAATAGATTGAAAATTTTGGTTATATAGATCAAGTGTGTAAAATATGAAAAAAATTTAATAAATTTTGATATATTTTTTAGATAAGTATTTTTAGTAAAAATTTTTATAAAATTTTTACTATTGAATAAATATCAATTAAATTTGAATTATTAATGATATTTTTAATAAATTGTTTTTACATATTATCGATTTTCATAGTGAATTCTATTACTCTATGAATTTAAATTTTTTTATTTAAATTTTTATTAAATTAATTTTAAAAAGTTTTGTCCCATTACATCAATGTAAAATAATTAATGAGTTTTATACTAATTTGTGACCATTAATTTTATTAAATCTAAAAGATCAAAATAAAGTCAAATTCTTTTCATTAATATTTATCTTATCTTTTTCTTTCTATCCATTATCTCTACATATTTATTATCTTTTTCTTTCTATATATTGTCTCTAATAACTACAGATTTATTATCTCTAATAACTACACATTATTTCCCTCTCTCTTTCCCATTTTAGTCTTTCCTTCCTTGCTTTGTCTTCCATCTCACAAATTTTGCATTTGAATTCACCTCTTGACATAATGAGAGGTAGTTCAAGCTATGTTCTATTTTTTTTTTTTTCATTCAATTGCTACAGAAATACTAAAAAATCTTTACTTTCCAGAATCCAAGTTCTTAAGCTGCATTTCTTGTATCTTGATGGTTAATAGATAAAACTATAAGTCCTAATTATTGTAGGAATTTTATAGAAGGTCAATTTTCTGGGTACTTCTTTTTTGGAGGGTGAAAAACTTTGTATTGAAGGAAAATAAAAAATAAACAAAAAAAAAATTGTTTAAATTCTGTCACTAAATGAAATGTATCTCAACCGTTTTTAATGTCCTACGAATGTAGCAAGCAAGTGATGGCATTTGTGATGGAAATAAAAATGAAAAATAAAAAGTCTAAAAAGAAGTGTAAATCAAAGTAGAGAACCAGTCCCAAAATGCATAAAACTCGTAAGATTCTTTTTCTTTTTATTTTTTCTATTATTTTGAAAAAATTGTTTATGTTAATTTAACTCTTTTAAGTGTGAGATACGATACAAGTATTTATCATCGGGTCAAATATTTTTTCCCTATAAATGAAATTATGGTACCACATTTACTATATTTTTTTTTACCACATTTCTCACCATATGACGGTTTCCATATACTTGGTGGTGACAAAAGTTATTTCGATCTGACATATCAGTGTGATAAATCCAAACTCAAAATCGACTAAGGAATCAAATATAAGTCCAACTGATCGGAGCAATAAATATGGCAAAAGAAAACTATTTTATGATATGATTATATTTCACTCAAAGAGTTACAACTATAGCATAAAAGGAAAATGTAATAATAACCAATGAAACTTCATATTCTTTTTACCCAAAATATTAAAAAGGAAAAAAAAAAAAAAGAAAACTAATAGCCTGTAAATTTTGTGATAGTAATAGTAGAAGCAGCAGGACAAGTCGGTGCGTTAGCCAAGAATCTTGGTTCCAATGCCCTCAAAACTCATAATCTCATGAATCAACGAGTGCTCAATGCGACCATCGATGACGCTAGCTGCCCTGACCCCTTGAGCAAGGGAACGGATGCAGCAATTCACCTTTGGTATCATTCCACCAGCAACCTTGCCATCTTCAATCATCTTCTTCACTCCCTTTATATTAATCTCCTTCACCAGGCTTCCAGGATCCTCCCTGTTTGCCAAAATCCCCTCCACGTCTGTCAACAGAATCAGCTTCTCTGCCCCTAATGCGGCAGCGACCTCCCCAGCTACCGTGTCAGCGTTGATATTATAAGGCTGGCCCGTCTCATCAGCCGCCACTGAAGCAATCACTGGGATGTGCCCGCTATTGATTAGGGGTTGGAGGATTGCAGGGTCGACTCTGGCAACCTCTCCAACGAAACCTAGTTGAGTAGCATTTGGACTAGGCCGGGCTGTCAAAAGACGCCCATCCATCCCAGAGAGGCCTACAGCAGCTGCAGCCGGATAGGCATAGTTAATACGAGAGACAAGATCTTTGTTGACCTTACCTACAAGAACCATGGAGACAACGTCCATAGTCCTGGCATCGGTTACACGGAGGCCATCACGGAAATGAGCTGGAATATTGAGCTGTTTGAGAAGTACATTGATTTCAGGGCCTCCGCCGTGGACAAGGACAGGACGGAGGCCCATGCAAGAGAGTAAGACGAGGTCCCTAACAACTGAAGCCTTCAGCTCAGCCGATTTCATAGCAGCACCTCCATATTTGACAACAATTATCTTGCCTCTTAACTTTTGGATGTAAGGAAGTGATTCAGAGAGAATTTGAACTCGAACCTGATCTGGTGATGTGCCATCATTAACGACAAAGGTCGAGTTTGATGCCCCTTGGATTCGGAGACAATATGGTTTTAGGTTGAAGTGGAAATTTTTCCTAAAGTTTATATGAGTTTTTGGTTTGGGAAATGACGAGTACTGTTTCGAACAGTAAAGATTGAGAGATTTGGGTGTGGTTGTTGCGGCCATATGTGCTTCAGCTGTTGTTAACGCTGCATTTTACAGAGCTAAATGAGAGGAGAGGTTTAATAGGAAAAGGGAAAAAAAATGGCACCAGGTTCCGGTGAAGAAGAGTCACAGAATTAAGAACATAGAGTCTGTAATAAATTATTGATCAGAAAGATAAGGGAAAAGAATATTTTCTACAATTATTTCTCAATAATATACTTCTGCCTTGTTCTGACGGAAGTATTTAGAATAGAGAATAGATTCTGCGTTTTTTTTCTAGCTTCATCTCAATTTTTGGTTTTGCTTTTCCTGTTTTTTAATTGGATTGGTTCATTTTTATCAAGGTATACAACAAGGGACCTAGCACATTCGTCAAAAAATATCACGAAAGGATCAAGGACACAGCCAATACCAAGCTACAATAGAAACATGTACATACATACATACATACATATATATATATATATATATATATATATATAAACGACCTTAGGCGGTAATGGCAGCATAAACCACTGGTACCTAGCGCAAGGCAGCCAGAGCAGCCCATGGTTGAACTAATGCTTCAAGAAGTATCTCAATTGGATTAAACCAATGTTTCAAAATTCAAGAAACTTAAATATGAAAAGCAAAAATTTAACTGAGCTAAAAGTTTCGAGTTCCAAAATGAAAGCCCAGTTCCAACTTCTCACTAAGGTCTACTTGGTAAATCCATATCAATAATGTCCATTTGACAATTTTTCTTCGACTGCTAAAACCCTTCATCAACAATTTTCAATACTTTTCTAGAGCTGAGTTCAGCCAGACCGTGATGCGTTAGGTTAAATGAAATACACAATTTCCCCAAGATAAAATGACATAGATGTGCTTGTCAGGCTAGTTTAATCTCCTTTTTTCCTACCTTGTTTTTCGTAGGTAAAGTTTTAATTTCCAAACTAAAAGCATCAATTCCACAAAGATGGGGAAACTTGGTATCAACTGATATAATTGATGAAAACTGTCCGAGAATTAGAAGCAAGTTGATAGATGAGAATGGCATGAATTTAGCACGCAGGCAGAGAAAGAGGCAGAGAGAAATGAGTTTGTATCCAGTATCAAATATCTCCAATCTTTGGAGGGATGGAGGGATTTAGAGAAGGGGTAGCAACAAACTTGAAGAATAAATCATCTTAATGACTGGAGGAAAACACATTCGCGTACGGCGCGCGGATCCGAACAGAAATGGAGCAGTTAGCCTGGATTACAAGAAATATATAACAATGATACAAAGACCCTTTAAAATGCAATTGCGGCTGCAGTTCTCTCTCCCTTTTTCCTCAAAACTGACCATCATCTGCATGATAAAAAAATCTACCCAGAAATTTCAGGAACCCAAAGAAATCAAGTGGTACGCTGTACATGCACCAGTGATACGAAGAAAGGGGAAAAAAACAAAATATCCAGCACCATAAAAGCAACTAGAATACTGTTAAATGAAATGAGAGATAAACGACCTACAGCCCCATATAAATATCCTGGGTAATAATGAATCCTTAATAACAGTACTTGCAATTCCTTACCGATAAACTGTTACAGTGAGTTCTCTCTTATTGTCTGCAATTGAGAGAATGAAATTCGGATTATTGACCCACCAAGTGAAGTTGCATGCTTGGACACAAGGGCTTCAGTAGCTTGCTCCTCGGTTTCAAACATAACAAGGGCTTGCTTCTTTCCATTCATTTCAAAAAGCTTGGTATTAACAATGGTGCCATGTTCCGCCAAGTGATTCACAATTTCCTCTTCGGTGACATCCTGGGGTAAAGTGGAAAGATGAACCATCTTTGTTGGGGAGCAGCAGTAACGGTAGTTCTTTGCAGCATTGCGATTAAAGCGGTTGAGATTTGAGTTCACGTATTCATGTGTGTCAGCTCCCTGGGTTATATTTGGATGTTTTGAAAAGTTGACCTCCAGTCGCTTCCCAAATAGCATGGCCCCCTGAATCTCAAATTTCAAGTGTGTTAGTACCCAGTAAGAAGGAATTTTAAATGAGCACTACACGTAATCATACTGGCCCCACTAGACAATACTAACCAGAGAGACTTGATGAGAAATGAAAGGTGGAACATCTAAAAAGCAGTTAAAAGGTTAAAGTAAAAAGCTCACTATTCTTCAATAGTGCATTAATGTGTCGAGATTCTCTCATACAGACGGGAAGGCAAAGAGTACAAGATAATTCCATTTGAAGCACGTCTAAAGAATAGGGAGTTCACCATTCAGCTTTTTGAGTGGTGAGTTTCCTAGATATACCTTGAAACATAAGAGGGGGGAAAATCAATTTATAAAATGTTCATTGCATCGTAGTCAACACTGCATCAGATGCATAAGAAAAGATGAAGACAGAATAAAGACAAATTCCTCCAGATGAATTACTAAGCCCAATAATTTTACCAATTAGAACAACACAAAGGCACGTAACTAGATAGAACCAGCGACTGTTGACATCAAAACTAGCGAGATCACATTCGTAAGGAAACAGCTCTTCTTGATCAGAAATAACTTGGCACGCTATAAAATCAATAACAAACCAAGCATTTTTCCAACTATGCATAGTCAACTATACGCATCATATTCCAAATCATATGATTTAACAAGATTGTTGTCAGAATCTTCTTGAATAGACCATATTGGTAAAGTATGTTCAAGATAGCAACCTTATACTGTGAGAAAAGAACAAATTGTAATTTAAATCCAAGTAAAAATATCACTGACTCATAATTAAAGAAATTTTGAGGTAAGTATTTTTCAATGAGAAATAAAAATCCAAGAAGTACATTTCGAGAGATTCAAAAGCCAAACCTTGAGAAAATGTACTGCCAGTTCAGCCTGGAAGCCATCACCCATCTGAACAAGAGCATGATCTGGTTTATTGCGTAGAAGTTTAATTCTCACAATGTTTCCATAAAGTGAGAACAGGTTGAATAGCTTATCCTCATCTATTCTCTGAAAAAAGATATTAATTGTCAAGCTCCAAGATACAACGGGTCCACAGTAATTTAGTAATTCAAACAAAATCTTTAAAAAAATTGATGGCGACTAGCTTACATCAGGATTTAGATTGGAAACAAGCACAGTACACCGATCATTTGTCCCACTTATTCCTGGTGGCAAACCTCCTCCAAAAGCTGCTGCAATCGCAGCAGCATTAGCCATCTACATTTCATGGAGAAGAGGGAAATGCAATCATTAAATGTGGCAGTATTTCACAGATAAAATAAATAAACAGATTTTTCATGTAATTCATTCTGCACTTCACCACAAATTTGATGCAGTTAAAGCATCTAGCAAACCCCATGCAAGATGGAAATTGACAGAACCTTTAGCTGGAATGCGACAACATTTGTTACAATCAAAAACTTTAAATAGGTTAAAGGAATTGTAACAAGTGCAAAAACAATGTTTAGCATGTTTCTTTCTTTTATTTATTATTTACCTTTTTTCAGTTACCCCAAAAGTCAAATTCTTTGAGTAGGAGAGGAAAGGAGTAAAATGCACAAGAATGAAATACAGATGCATGTCATATGCACTAGCCCAAATTATTCCACAATCCAAGTTTGATCAAACCCATTTCCATTCTCAAGACCATAATGCATGTTCTAATAATCAGTCATGAAACCAAACAAGAAAAAGCAGATGGGCGCAAAGGCGATATTTGGCATGCAGAAAAAGCATATGTTTATCACATTCATACTGAAACAAGATTTTAAGAAACAATAGCGGTTAGTTGGCAGACATCCTGAGTGTTTCCACCAAATAACATAAGGATGATAATACCCCCAAGATCAGAAAGAATCCTCTCATATATATTTAAACCATGATCTGAGCAATACCCACCTGCGAGAATCCAACTGAAACAGAAGAAAACAAACAAGTGTTTGTTAACAAGGAAAACAATCAAATAATGAGTAACAATAAAGAAATTGATATAAAGGTACCAATTAAGCACCTGCCCTGGCTCCATGAGCCTCAGAGGTGTACATACCTCCTACATCACCATACCCAGGATGCTGCATTGCAAAATATATGCAAATTAAAATCATGAAGGAAATAACTGCAAAAAAAAAACAGCTGTGGACATGCACATATACTCAAGAATACTCATGTTAAAGGAAATTGCACAAATTGAATATACCTGTGTTGATCTGCCCTTCTGTTCTGTTGGAAGATTTGGATTTGTGAAGTCCCTAAGCAAGGGGGGATAATACAATTTTAAGTAGCATCAAAACGAAAATGTCAACAAGATATAAAAGAGATTAAAAGAGAAGCAAGTGGCTACTAGCATACCTTGATCGATCATTATTGTAATGGACTTGTAATTCATCTAGGCTGAAATGAGAAAATCAATAATAAATTAATAACAAACATGAAACAACGGTCTCTTAAGAAGTATAATCTAATCTGACAAAAAAGAAAAGTATAATCTAAGAAACAAATGAACTTCCAATCCACATGTCCTAGTCACAAATAATGATATGATTGTTACTTGTTGAAAACCTACTTTGAAAACTGTATATCCAGCTGACAGCAGCCATCATAAATATTACGGCCCTGCAAAACAGCAAGACATTAAACCTCCTTACAAAGCAAACCACCAAATAAAATTAAATGAGTTTACCATCCAAAATGACTAAATAGATATAGAAGTAAATATACCTGAAGAGAAGTTCTAGCCGAGACAGCACTCTGGCATCCTTGATACTGGATCAGGGCTTGAAAACCTATACAGTTTGCAAAAACAGGATGAAGAAGGGAGGAAAGAATTTTAGAAAAACACAAAAAGTTGATTCAAAATTATGTTGTCATGGCCATGTATCTAAATGTAAGGTGTAAACAACATTCACAAAAATCACAGCAAACACAATAGAAAATGGAAATGTAGAAACTTCACAGCTTTGAAATTGTTTCTTAGTATGCTGGTCTTAACATAAATATATTTACAAAAAGTCCTTTAAAGAAAAAAAAAATTAAATATCCATTCATCTATATATTGTGAAAGAGTTCAGGAGGCAGCTTTAGAAAATAGAGTGATGGAGAGAGAAAGAAAACGTGAAGCTGACCAGCCGACTTCTGAAATGTTACAATCTTCTCCACAAATCCATGAGGTGAGAAAACCTGGTGTAGCACTTCCACGGTAATAGGGTAAAGCATATGATGGATTGTAACCAGGAGGATTCGATTCGGCTGTCCATCCAGAGTGTGCCCAATAGTAGACCCGCATAGAGACAGAAGAGAGAGAAGAGTATAAATGGAGAAGTATAGATAGAGAAGAGAATAATAAAGAAGCACATACAAAGAGAAGAAGATCAAATGAATAAAGAAACAATCACTGAATATGCAGCAAAAAGGCCTTTAAAACACTAAACTTAGAAAGGAATATACTAACCAGGGAAACTCAAAAAGAGAAGAAAGGAAAGCCAAAAGAGATTTATTCTAGTTAGTTCATATGTATGCACTTGAGGTTAGTCGTGCAACAATGAAATTTATTAGCTTAAATATAATGCACTCTAAAATTGGATGGTATAATGCATAGAATTAACAGGACAAAGGATTGCCCATGTTCTTTTTGCAGCTAAAACTTAAAATATACAGATAATAGTCAATAATCCACAATTGAATAAAGCCCCAAGTAACTTTAAGTAAAATAGTTGAAATGCTAATCGGACTTAGAAATTAGGGTTCAGAATTTTCCAGAAAGAAGATGAAACTCCAAACAAAATAAGACAAACTCTTGTTCAAAAAAATGACCAGAGAACGATGTACTGCACTGAGCAAAGAACATGTCTGATGGAATGCAAAGGCATGCAATACACCAACAGATTGCATCTTATCAGTATCAGAACCGAATTACCAAACAATATATGATGCCAAAATACCCTTTATAAAGGCATCCTTGTAATCAAACAGCTACTACCCCAAACTCAACCACCGATATTACCAGTAGGAACTTAATTAAAATAGCTCTGCTTCCCTAGTCACTCAATTATTAAAAACAAAAGATCTGCTTTTCATATTAAGAAATTAATCAGTCTTTCAGTGATCTAGCATAGAGTAGTTTTTGACAGTAATCAATTAAGTATTACTCCCCATCATCAATTTTAAGGATTATTTAGAAATTCGGGAGTAGACCACATTCTTTACTTAGCTTTAGAAAATCAAACTGCCTCAAATTCTGTTCAAGTTAAGGTATTCCTCATAGTCATTTTACTGTATCGTAGGTACTCTCCCTATTTTCAACATGGTGCATCAGTCATCCCAACAGCCTTAGGTTCACTATGGAAACTTCACCTCGACATTATTGAATGATCCTTAATGATATCAAAGACAAAAACTGACAATTAAAAAAAAATTCATATCCAGTTCTTTGGTGCTCCAAAATACAAATAGTCCCACACAAACTGCTTAGTTTAAAATATTCTCCATAAAGACCAATAACTATATTCATCTTGTATCCACTATATAATAATATGCTAATTTACTAACCTCATCACCTCTTCCTTGAGCATTCTGATCCATCGTTGTTAGTTCCTGATGTGATGAGAATTGAACATAAACATTCCTCCCCCTGGAACATTATGAAATCATGCATAAGGATTTGAAAATAAGGAGCTTAAGAAGAAGCAAATACAATACTTTTATACCTAATAGTTGGTTGAACATTAGCGTAGAACTGCAATGCATTGATGGCTGAAGGAACATCTTGCATTTGGAGAAGAGCCTAAACACAATCAAACAGGAAAAATATATTACATCTAGAAACAGATAAATTTTCAAGTTCAAACAGCTAAATCTACCACAAGACATCAAGTAAAAACCTGATTCTTTGCACGGAGCATTACAAGCTTTGTTATCACTCCAAATGGCTGGAAAAGTTGAAGCAAATCATTCTGAAACAACCAAAAGGAGATGCATCAGATAGCACACGTTTAACATTGAAGAGTATGCAGTGCAGTTACAAAAATAAAATCCTATGCATTTTCATTGAAGTCTACATTACATGGACTCAGGTATAGGTATCCAATAAGGGTATGCGTCTAAGGGTCTTCCTCACCATTTGCTCAAACATTTGGGCTCACAAAGTTGGATAAAAAGTGTCCAGAAGTAAGAAACAGGTACACAGATAATTCTTATAAAAATGTAATAAAAAATATGTAAATATAATTTTATTATATAAATAAATTTCTCTTCTATTTTACCGTCGTAAAAAAAATTATTCCTCTTTTCTTTCTTTACTTTAATAACCTTAAATGCTCAAACAAGCCCACCAAGTGATATGAACTATATAGTCAAGCAAGAGAACAAAATACAAAACGGCCAGGATATGATCCTTTTGTTTCTTTTTGGGCTAGATTAATCACTTGTTAAACCTAATATTACGGTGAACCTGCTTCAGCATTACCCAATCTTCTGTCCACTGATGCTTGCAACTTATCAGAATACAGATTAGTCTTCTGGAAATGTTGTGTCTCAGGGGTTTTCTGCTGAGCTTGAGTTTTAAAGTGAACTAAACTAAAAAAGATAAAGGAAATATTAACTAGAACATCACTTGGCTTAGAGTTGGCAGTTATAAAGGAACAACAACCCCCAAGCCACAAAGTGAAGCACCTTTTTACTCAGTGAATTACATATAACGGCACCAATAGTTGAATAAGAAATGAAATGAATCAGTTTTCTCAAATGCTTCAAACACCAAAAATTAATATTAATCCAAAACAAAATTTTCCTAAGCCATACACTTTCCAGATTTTCTTGTCCACAGTTTTTCCATAGTTGGCATCCCGAAAATGCCACAACCATCCTACCAAAAGTATCTTTTCAACAATATATCATCATACATTTATGAGTAAATGCCTTAGGATTTAGGAAGTAATCTCACACAGAAGTTCCACTTTAAATAGTAATGTTCTTTTTAGGAATTCATAAATGCACCAAAAATTTTAACCTTTTTTTTTTTATTTATTTAGTATGAAACAAAGTTTTATGTGTTCGCGTTATTGAAGCATACACTCTAAAAACAACCATGACTAATAAAAAAAACCATTTTGATTACTGCTGAAGCCCGAACTCAGTAGCATAGCCGTAGAAGTTAGTTGTAAGAGAAGGAGTAAGCTAAAAAAAGAAAGAGGCTTTACTTCAGAAATTTCGTGGCCTACGTTGCGAACATGAATGACTTTAGAAGGTTCCGCCATTTGTAACGACCTGTAACAAACTCAAACACAATCAAATATCTTTCTTTCATTATTCTCCTATCAAAATTAATAAAATAATGCCTTTCTATCCAAAATGCGAGCAAAGAAAACCAAACAAAAAAAAACACAATTTTCTCACTAAATTTAATTACTTTACCGCTTTTTCCATGTAATAGAATGGTTAATTCAGTGCATCTATCAGTCAAATCGTACAAATTCAATGAAAAAAAAAAAACTTTTAATTCAATGTGTTCTTTTTTTGTCTAAATAAAAGAAGGAAATCAGAGATGAGTGTGAAAGTCAAAAAGAAAACAAACAATCCTAACACTTTGTTTGGTTGCGAAGAAATCAAAAGAAAGGCACAAGAAAATTTAAAAAATTAAAAGAAAAAAAAAAAAACAATAACAGAGGCTTTCAATCTGACAAATAGAGAAATTAAATTGCAATATATTGATTTTCTTAATTCTTTTCAGAAACAAAATGGACCGTTATATTTAGCTAAAAGTTAAAACACGGTGAGATCAGAAAGAGAGAAAGAACTTGCCTGAGCAAGAGAGGGAAAGATAAAGGAAGCGTGCACAGAGAGAGAGGAAAGAGGGAGGGATTTGAGAGGAATCAGAGAAGAGCTGTAGAAGTGTTTCTTCGCATCTTTATCTTGCCCTATCTCTTTCCTCTTTTAGCCCTAAATACCACGCTTCTCTCACTCTCACCACCATCCGCTTTTTCTCTTATTTGGAAACACAATAAAATTATTTGTTATAATTTTTATTGTGTTATAATTCATATTTATATATTAAATTAAAATATATATTTTTTAATTTTATTATATTTATATATTTTTTTTGTTAAAATTTTAAATTATAGTATTTTAATATTTTTATTATTTTTATGTGATATTTAAAATTATTATATTTAGTCATAAGTGAGTGAATTTCATTTTTTGTTGTTTTATTTTTTAACTCATATATTCTTAATAAAAAAAAGTGAGCAAATAAAAATTTTTTGTCTCTCATAAAAAAATAAAATAAAAATAAAAAGTTAGTGTTTGTTTATGGGTTAATGTTTCAAATAGAATTATAATAAAATTTTTAATATGATAATTGAATTTTAATATAATATTTGAATTATAAATTTATTAATTAATAAAATATTAAATAGTGATATGTGATAAATGAGTAGGAAAATTTATATTAATTAATAAATTTATAATTTAAATATCACATTAAAAAATTTTAAAATTTATTATCATATTAAATTTTTTATTATTAATATAAAAAATTAATTCTTTAATTATATTTGAATAACAAATAAGGACATTTTCAACAATTTATATAATTCTTAACACATCTAAAAGTTCATAACTTGATAAGTTCTGTGGTAAAATAAAAAAGGAATTTTTAATTTGATATTTTTATTATTTAAATTTGACTCTTTTAACTATTTTATATTTAATTTTACCAAATTTATTTTTTATGTTTCTATTAAAAATCGTACTAAAATTTTTATCATGATTTGCGTGACATAACATTTCAAAGATGACTAGCCATACTCTTTTAGATGACAATTTTTTAAACTAAGTTGAATGTATTAATATGAAGAAATGTATTTTAATTATATTATATTGAATAACATTTTAATTAAAAATAAATTTATGATTGCATACTTCAAAATCTGTAGGTATATTGATGGTGTTCTGGATGTTGGTAAAAAGGAGGTTGGCTTGATGGTCGTATTAATGACAGTCAAGATTTGCAACAAAAAAGTATGATTTAAAGGCCTCAGAAATTAATTTTTTTCCATATTCCGACGATTAAATTAGTGAAATGTTTTAAGCTTTTAATGAAAAAAAGATAAGCTGTAAATTTTAAGAAGCTTAAAGAGAAAAAATTATTATTTCATACAATACCTAAATTTCTTTTTTATCTAATATCTTAAAGGTAAGAGGTTAACATAATCACAACAATTAATAATTGATAATAAATTTGTATGAAACTTCAGAAGCACGCCGATTATTATACACTATATTTAATGATTTCAAACAAATTTATATTATATTTAATTATTCCAAACAAATTAAAAACCAATCAATAGATTATGAAATAATAGCTTAATGAACTGTTAGTTTAGGTAAAACGAGGGCAAAACTGCTATGTGCAAAAAAGTTTGGATGTCGACACTGATAACAATCATGAAAATTGACTTATTGATTAAGGAGATAAGTTCAACAGGTTACTTGGATATCCAGGTGAAATAATCAAATCCAAAAAATGCAAATAGAAAAAGGATTGGCGGTAGGAAAAAAAGGATTATATACTATGTAATTTTAAAGCTACTCATAAAAGATTTTTCAACTCAACAAAACAAATTAGAAAATTTCACAAGATGTTTGATTTTCAACGAAAAATTTTGCGACATATTTCTCAACACCAAACCAAGTTTTATTATAACACCAGGAACTAAATGGTGTTTAAAAATGACTGCTCTAACATACCGTAATCAAGAAACAGATTCTGATGTATAATACTTCAACTGTATCAATCGGAGACAAAAGCAAGATTCAAGATAAAAGAATCCACTTGGTCAGATGATTGATTATTTAGCATTAATTTCGCTGGTCTCGGAAAGCATCCAATCACTGTACTTACTATGTATGTACAAATCATGATGCCACTTAACCAGCAAGAATAAATCAAATACACATTTCAAATGAGAAAATTTCAAAGGAACAGACTTCATCGATTGCTTTATACAACTATTTGATCTTTTACCTTTTCATAAACCACGAGGTTTGGTCCAAAAGACAAAAAACGTACTATTACTCCTACAGGATATTCCAAGATCCTCTTACCATATTTAGTGCTTAAATTCTAGCATGTAAGGGGATGATCAAAGTGCAAACAAGGCAAATTAATCACACAGCAAAAGGGTAAAAAAAAGTACAACATTGGGTATATTTGGTTTAAGACTACAGTAAAAACTGATCCAAATCCTTAGCAGTTCAAGCATTCAACACAAATTGATAAAACAAAATAAATCCAATCGTTCCATTTCAAAAAGGAAATGCGAATGAAATATAAACTGAGCTTAGGGAATAACAAAATGTAAACATTAGATAGCCCAAAATTCCTGACCAGCTTCCAAATTTATGCCTTGAGCCGGCCATAGATTTTCTGTTTTTCCTGTGTTGTCTGGAAACGACCGTGCCCAAACTTTGAGGAGGTGTCGATGAACTTGAGTTTGATTTCCTCCAAAGCCACACGAGATGTCTGGTTAATCAGAGACTGGCGAAGGGTAACCACCCTCTTCTTAGGTCCAACACAGCATCCTTTGATCATCAGGTAATCACTCTTCACAACACCATAGTGAGGGAAGCCGCCCATAGGGGTGATATCTTTCTCAGTCCTGAATAAAAAGCCATGTCAGAACACATTCAACAATGACAACAAGCAAAATTAAACAGAAACCATTAGAAGACTCCATACAAGACCTTCAAAACAACCCCCAATCTGATGGAAGTAAAGATTTAGGTATATTCTAGGAGTTGACCTTAATTAGACAAATGCACTAACCTGTCATAGTCAGTTATGGCAGAGTGGCTCTCATCACCAACCTTGCCAATCCTGTATACCTTCTTGTTCATCTCAGTACGGTGATGGTATCCATTCTGACCTGCCCTGGCAACTGTAAAGGAGACTCTGGCAGGATGCCAGGCACCAATACAAGCAACCTTCCGCAGACCTCTATGGGTCTTACGGGGCAGACGTGTGACACCCCAACGAGTGACAACACCTTCATAACCTTTACCCTTTGTGACACCAATGATATCAATCATTTCATCCTTCTGGAAAATGGCATCAATAGGGACTTGCTTCTCAAAGAACTTGTAGGCAAAATCAACCTTGTCAGCAATAGTTCCACCATTGACTTGGATCTCCATTAGATGTGCTTTCTTCTGCTTCAATCCCTTCATTTTCCTAATCTGTAATGCACTTAGTCAGAAAATTTGTCCACCTTGAAAAAAGTTTAATAAGGATTTTCCAATTAACCCAAAACTGTAACATGAAAACTAAGCATTTGAAAATTAACACTTATGAACAGTGCAAAATAGGAAAACAAGACACTGATTAAATCACATATTGTGGTAACCTGGGTGTGGGCCAAGACCCTAATAACAGTGGCATATTTCTTCATCTTTTCCAGCTGAGCCTCGATACTCTTCTTCCCTTCTTCGCTCTCGTACTGCTTTGAGTATTTGGTGAAAGCCTTCTTCTTGGACTTGCACCAATGCTTGTAGAACCTACGTTTGACCTCCTCGCTCAGATGCTGGGCCCAGACAGTGTTCAAACTGCGGAGGCCTCGTGGTGTCTTCACATATCCAACAACCCCAACAATCACCATAGGAGGGGTTTCAATGATTGTAACAGCCTCACATGTCTCCTTCTTGTGAAGCTCTATACAGAATTGAAGAACACAAATTAGATCCAAATTACAGAAAATTTTGAGAACTGCAAATGCATTTGCGAAACATATCGCAAACAAAGAAACTGGACTCATCTTCAGGTAAGTATTTATAAAGCTCAAAGAAAAGATATCTGCATCTCAAAACGACACAATAATTTGGGAGTTTCTTGATCAAAATAAACTTACTAGATCCGGGTTTTTCGACCTCCCTGACAATGTGTGTCATACCAGCCTTGTACCCCAAAAAGGCAGTGAGCTTGCATGGTTTGCTTGGGTCATCCTTTGGGAATGCCTTCACTGAACCACTCGAAAACAAGATCATCAGTTAAAACACTAAATATTGTTATCTATTTACTTATTTCCAGATAACAAATATCAGTATAATCATTTAATCACTGCATTTCAGTTAACTACTAGAATTTCTACACCTTTATTTTACTGGGAAATACAGTATTCTTATCAAATTGAAAAAATGAAATCTAATACATACCCTTTCCTCTGTGACGAGCAGCTCGCTTCCTTGGAAGAAATCCAAGAGAACCATGCCTTGGGTGCTCAAACTTCCTATGAGACATTCTTCCCCTCCTTCACTACCCAAAAGAAAAAACACAACAAATCAAAACTCCAATCACACCAATGTTTTTATTTTCGATCTATAAAAATAACAATAAACAAAAAGATTTTCAGAGACACCAATTTATTTTCTTACAGAAAAGCTCCGAAAACAGTTCATTTTTTTCCTCTACTTTTTCTATCTAAAAGTAACTAAAGAAAGGATGAAAATTGAAAGAGAGGAAGAGGGTGGATAGAAGATAGAGGTAACCTGAGTTCAGAGACTCCTGCTGCTGCTATTGTTGCCGGCTGCTTACGCTCCCTAAACAGAGAATGACTAAAACCCTAACTGCTGTTTTTATAGCAAGTTCAAATAACTGAATTTATTTAAATCCCCCTTTTCTTTCTTAAATTTAATTGTGTCCCAAGCTTTTGGTTTTTTACAAAATTGGGAGGCTGTCGTCGTTGATTGGCTTGGATACTCGGGCCCCAGTCATGGGCTAGGGTGACTATTGGCCCTCATTTTAATTTGTAAGTGTTACATAAAATATTAAGTTTTAAATATTTATTTTATTTAAAATTAAAGATAAAAAAAATAATACTTATATAAGAGAGCCCTTGTGTGTGTAAATATATATTCTTGACTTGGTTTATGTAATTTAACTTTCATTTTATAAGTTTCATCTTGTTCATTATTTTTTTTATGATTTGAACGAAAAGCTTTAAGATAA